GAAGGCTACATCAACATTATATATAGCTCTTTTAGTATTAGTCTTGAGTATTGTAATTGATGTATATCACTACATCCAGTATTATTTCACCACAGAATATTGGGATAAAAAATACATCAATCACGACTGTGATAAATAATTTTTTTGAGTTTCTTTTCCAGGTATTTTCCAGTCTAATACAACAAACCTACAATAAATCCTACCTTGATGAAGGTTAGAATATTCATTTTAGTTAAAGAGTAACCAGCTGAAAACATGGACATGGGCATGCTTGTAGCAGCTTCCGTCACCAACCCAGCCCCTCTCCCCCCGCTACTATAAAACCAACGTCCTGCTACATAGCCGTATTAACACTCCCTAACAGAAACCAGAGACTTTGGCCTCTGTGAGCAGAAAACTACCATGAATGTGCTTCTAGTGACTGTTAAAGCTCCAATGGCACGGACGTGGAATGTCTGACAGCAGCTGCTCATGGCTGTTAGCTCTGACTACCAGCCTCTGTATTATTGCTACATTGAGCGGTGGTCAGTCTGTCACTCTGGTCAGTGTTATTTCTTGCGTTACATGCTATGTAGCCACAAGGCCACATCCCTAACAGTGGCTGTTCTGTGCAGGCAGAATTTTGTGGTGCAGTTACACTGTTATGTTCCTATTACTGTTGAATTGCATTGCACTTTTTGATATTTTCTATCCTATTTATATCAGTTGGGGTAGTCACAATAATATTAATTACAAAAAGTGACTTTGATTGTTTGGTACCTGCCTGTTCATGGCCTGTTTAACCAGAGTCAGTTACAGATGTATTGGAGATTTGCTATCATGTGAATTTGAGTGGCTAATAAATAGCACAAAAATACAGTTATTTTAGAAGATGTAATCATCTTTTGAATTTCCCTTGGGATAAATAAAGTATCTGTCTGTCTGTCTGTCATGAAGACAAATTTGACTTGGCCTAAAATTTTCAAGAATCATGTCGTGTTCTCCAATCATGCAAATTTCTTATGTGCAGTCATAATTAATAGAGAACACCCGCTCTGTTTTGCTATGTAAACTTAGAAATGAGTGACATGGTATAGGCCTTGCCCTTATCTGACATATAGTGGTACTCATTTTATAAGATCAGTCAGTGTATTATGTTTCCAAAACATCACTATCCTGAAAATGCAGGTGTTTTTTACATAGTGTTCAGTTCTAACCAGTGACAATTATGTTCCCTGTCAAAGAAAAACAAACATGTTTGCATGAGGGCAGGTGTGTAGCACAATTAGATTTTCTCACACAATACTGCGGTGTCTAACACAGCCAGCCAATGCTTTCTTGTGTCCTTGTATGTGTTTACATGGGAGGTCGTTTGCCCCCTTTTTGAGGGTTGCTGTGTCATTGGCTTGAGTATAAGCTCCTAACAAGCTCCCAGTAATCTCAGTCTTACTAGCTTCTATACCGTGGGTGCATGGTTGTACACTTCCAATAAAGGCAATCAAGGTGTCAATATCAGCAGGTACTCAATATAAAATGTGGATTGGGGACAAAAAAACTTGATCGCGATACCCCTATTTTTTACTGCGGTATCATTTCAGTGAAATTTCACTGGTACTGGTATGTACTACTAAGTTTCTGGTATCATGACATCCCTGCTTCCGTTAATGTTAGGGATGTCTCGCCTTTGCTCAGAGGAGAAATAGTGCTAGAGATCCATCGCAACCACGCTTAACGCCACCACTGCAAGTGCAAGAAAAGCCCAGTAAACAAAAAAAACAAGAGCAACTAATTCATGTAACCTGGCAAAAAATGCATAGACAACAGAAATATACAGACAGTTCATTCAGGTAACTCGGTTTAAGTTTGTACTCAAGCACCAAGGAATGGAGAGAGAGAAACTCCCTTAAGACAGCAACAAGGCCAAAAAGATTACAGAGAGAGTATATTATTTTATTTAAAAAAAGATTAAAAACATTGTTTTCTTGATGCATTGCAGAGCTATTCAACTGTCAAGCATATACATTGGATTGATTTTAATAACTGTAATGAACTTGACGTTTACACTAACCTTTATTATCTAAAAGAAAAAATACAAGTGTTGGATTGGGACTTGGTACCGGCAGATACTCAATATTAAATGGCTCTGATTGGGGGCTAAAAAAATTTGATTGAGACATCTAGTTAATGTCAGAAGAAATGACTAGATTTTTCTGAAATATAATATGTTAAAAAAATGTGAGTTTGGGAAAGTAGAGGCAAACGTTGTTAGGCTGGGTGAGCGGTTAGACCCTAGTAACCTGTTATAGTCGTGGGTGGGCAAACTGAAAAGGCAAAACGTTAAATGGAGAAATAAATTAGGTTAAAATACAGACAGCAGTACCGGCTTCCCAGAAGAGTATTGTTATTATTGTTCTGTTTATAATTATTTTGAACACTTTAATGTTTCCATAATCCGCTATTATTTCTTGCCTACTATAAAGCTGGAATCTGTGTGTGTTTCGGTAATGTACAGTAAATGGTCCAGACTCCTCTGCTGTGCACCAGCCGCTCTGGCATGGTGTTATGTTGAGGTCACTGTCTTGTGATCGGAGGGGCTATGTGACACTTCATCTCATTACAGCCGGCCTCTCAGGAGTGTGTGGGTGTGTGTGTGAACCCAGATCTTTTGATGGAAAATTCCATAGTCACAGAAGGTAGTGCGAAGCAGACTGGACACCCTGAGGCTTATAAAGTACACGCTCTCAGTCACAACACATTTACTGTACCTTGGTTAGAGCCAAAGCTGGAAATCCAACATTTGGGATTTACACTGATCACATGGTCGTTTGTAGAGAACAGCTTACCAGCTACCATCACCATTTGTCTGGCTTGGTTTATGCCTGTTGGCATGACAAAGTTGTCTATTTTTATGAGTAGAGCTGCAACAATTAGTCTATTTATCGATATGTTGTCAACTGTTAAATAAATTGGCAACTAAAGTTTTTCCAGATTTTCTGATTTCAGCTTCTTAAATGTGAATTTTTTCAGGTTTATTTCGTCCTTTATGACAGTAAACTGAATATCTTTGGGCTGTGGATAAAACAAGACATTTGAGCACATCACCTTGGGCTTAGTGAAATAGCAATCAGCATTTTCTCATCCTTTTGTGACATTTTATGGACCCAACAACTAATCGAGAAAATAATCGACATATTAATCATTTGCCCTACTTAAGAGGGATACAAATCTTGTCAGTGTCCATAAATGATTGTGATCCATGTTAACAATCCTCCAATCGCTACGGTAGGAGAAACACAGCAGCTGAGTCACCAATTTGTAAAACCTGACATTTTTGCAACCCCACAGTGTCAGTTAACTCCTCACATGTGCCATTGTGTCTACCTTGTCATGTAGCCATTTGATTCTCCCTGCCAAGTTTTGTATTCATACACACCAAGCCCCTGTAATTGAAGCTCGGTTTTAGATGGACTCGCTGTGCTCCTGCTGTTACCCTCCAGAAGATGCCGAGTAGAGCGATTACATCAACAAAACTGGATGACAAAGCCAGGAATAGATTCCTAGAGCCTAAAATACCACATAGGCACACAGTCCAAACATATACATACATACATACATACATGGCAAGAGGTAATTTAATAATATTATTTTTTCTAATGTTCGGTGTCTATTTATATATGGCTGTTTGTAATTGTATTGGGTGGTTATTGCTTAACTCAGAAATAGATAAAGAACTGTGCTAAACACAACTTTCTAAATGCGTACATTTAGAGAGGGGAATTACCTCTAACAATGCATGTTTTCCACAACTGTCCAGTGCCCTTGAAGCGAAGCTGCACACAGACACTCTGATCTGGATTAATGCCACCGTTAGATGTGCTCTCTGCACTCTCTTGGGAGCCCCCTCTTCCCTCTCCCTCACTTCCCCTTCCTGTCTGTAACAGGAAGTTAGCCTAGTTGGGCTTCAGATGGCCTCATCTTCTTCGCATCTGTTATCAGGAAAGGGAGAGCTTGTGATGGCACTCAGATGGTGTGTGTGTGTGTGTGTGTGTGTGTGTGTGTGTGTGTGTGTGTGTGTGTGTGTGTGTGTGTGTGTGTGTGTGTGTGTGTGTGTGTGTGTGTGTGTGTGTGTGTGTGTGTGTGTGTGTGTGTGTGTGTGTGTGTGTGTGTGTGTGTGTGTGTGTGTGTGTGTGTGTGTGTGTGTGTGTGTTGCATGCTTTTCATTTTTTCACACACATTCACTCATCTATTTTGGGAAGACGCTGTGTTTTGGGGCAGCCCCATTAGCTTCGCTTGATTAAGTCATTAAAGTAATCTACCCATTCCTAAGTGGCAGAGCAAAGCTCTTGTCACACACCATCACCGTCCACACTGCCGGAGCCATTGTCGAGGGCTCAGCGGTTACGCAAGAGTCAAGCTTACAGTCGAAGGTCATGGCTTAGGTCAGGCTACCCAAATAATCCTGGAATCCAGAGAAAGCACTGTGTTTGACAACACACTATTTGGCTGTTCATCATTTTAAGAAGTGGCAGTATCTTCTCATGGTGTCTTGTCTTTCTCAACTCAACTGGTGGCAGATTATTTTGTCTTGTGTTTATTACTTATGTGATGTGTTCATGTTAGATTGAGCCTGTCTGACTCACACCCTCCCCTCAGCTCCTTTACTTGTTGTTTTCTTGGCACTTGCTCTTCTATGATTATTGTGTCATCACAGCAATATTGCAAAGTCACCAGGCCTGTGCCCTGGAATTGTTGCCTGTAATTTAAGTGTCAGCTAAACACCATTAATGTCAATATATTGTCTGTGTTCAGAACATTTAACTGCTGGTAAACATTGCATGGTTTAAGATACATTCCTTCTTGTTGTCTTCTCACTCTCTGTCACTCCTGTTTCTGCCTCTTTCTGTCTTCCATACTGTTTCCTCTTTAATCTCCCCCTCCCTCTTCACAACTTCATCCTCTCTCCGTCTCTCATCATTCATCCTTATCTCTACCTCATCCCCTTTTTGTCTCTCTTTCTCCAGGTGGCTATAAAAATAGTGGACAAGACCCAGCTGGATGATGAGAACCTGAAAAAGATCTTCAGAGAGGTGCAAATCATGAAGTTGCTGAAGCACCCCCACATCATCCGCCTCTACCAGGTACACACTTGCACTCACCCACAGAGATGATAATGCACTCTGCTCACATCTCACATCTTCTACCTGAGACCTATGGCCCAGTAGGAAAAGGACAAATATATGTTGGTTTAGCATGATCTGATGTTACATGTCATTGTTTTTTTTGGGTTAATTTAACCAAAGTGTTGAAGATTGTAGGCATTGGTTGGTATTGGATTATAAAATGTACCTTGAAAAAATACTTCCATAAATGCTTGTATATCTAAGGGGCCACCCAGGACAAGCACAGTCTTCTGCCTAAGAACTTGTCTCTAGTAAGACTCAGTGGTAGAAGTTGAGCAAGGAGTGTTTCTAATTTTCTTTACCCAAAGTCTTCCAGCTGTATGGGGATTGTAACACCGTGCCAACTTTTACAGCATCTTGTCTGTAAAAGCCCTGGCAGTTTAAACATGACCTTATCACTTTGATAACCACAAAACATGTTGACTTTCTCACGCATACGTACAGCAAGCACTGCACTGAGTAAATGGCAGTTTTTGTTCTATTTGAATCTTGCTGTTTGTATGCCAAGCGATGCTTACTCATTGTGTTGTGTAACAGGTGAACCACCCATCACTAGATGTTGTCCTGCCAGAGGGTCTGTAGGTTCTGGTTGTTACAATTTGTTTATGTTTTCAGGTGATGGAGACAGAGAGGATGATCTATTTGGTAACAGAGTACGCTAGCGGTGGAGAGATATTCGGTAAGGATGTTCCCCAGTGTTATCTTGATGTTTGTCGTCACTTGTCCCACTGCTTTACAGTTTGTGTTTTAAGCTGTCTGGCAATTTGCTAAATAAAAAGTGTAAATCTGATTTAAAAAATTTGGTTATAAGACAATTGTTTTGTTTTTTGTTTCGATGTTTGTTCCTTCTGGAACACCACTTGATATCGTGTTTTCCCAATATTTACTTCCTTTTGTCTTCTGTTCCACTTATTTGTAGAGTTGGAATGCCTCTCTGAAACTCTGACGACTAGTCTCTTATGACCCCTTTCTCTGTTTTCTAAAGGATTAAAAAATCCCTTCTTTGTTCCCCCTTTATGATCAGTCCTGTAATCGAATAGGCTAAATCAGAACAGAATCACAGGCCTCACTTCCTGTTTATTCAAAGATTCGACTGAGTACCATAATTATGTAACTATATTGTGTGTGCACACAGACCATTTGGTGGCTCATGGGCGAATGGCGGAAAAGGATGCCAGGAAGAAGTTCAAGCAGATTGTTGCAGCAGTCCATTTCTGTCACTGCCGCAACATCGTCCACAGAGACCTGAAGGCTGAGAATCTGCTGCTGGACCACAACCTCAACATCAAAATCGCAGGTATGTGTGTGTTTTCACTTAAGAATGTATGGGTGGGAAACTTAATATAGTGGTTTTGGGCTGTTTGGTGAGTGGGCGTAGGCAAGTGTCAACATGTGCTTTTGGAGCATTTCTCCTGGGTTGTCTCTGTATTTTTTTTACTCTGTAGAGGAAAGTGATAAGATTCAATAAAATTCTCTCTCCCCCCCGTCAGATTTTGGCTTCAGTAACCTGTTTTCTCGAGGCCAGCTATTGAAGACATGGTGTGGCAGTCCTCCTTATGCTGCACCAGAACTCTTTGAGGGCAAGGAGTACGACGGACCTAAAGTAGATATATGGGTGAGTAGACTATTAGGTATGCATAAGATCACGTTGGGCTGCAGCACAGGGTGTAGCTACCTTGCTTGAACTTTCCAGGAAGACAAATACAAAAGAATCCTGGATTTAGAGAGGCCCTGGCATGTTTTTGCTTAAAAGTATACTACTCAATTTCTTCAATAGTCTACAGCGCTCTTGATTCATATTCATAATAATTAAAATAACAGTTTTGTTAATGCATGTTTTCAAATGATGTACTCACAGTTTATTTGTTGTCTTTTCTCTGTATAGAGCTTAGGTGTGGTGTTATATGTGTTGGTGTGCGGCGCCCTGCCTTTTGATGGCAGCACTCTACAAAATTTGCGGGCACGTGTCCTCAGTGGCAAGTTCCGCATCCCCTTCTTCATGTCCACAGGTAGGTAGTGTGCTTTTACTCTTTCCCAGGTCTCTTCTCGTCCTCCTCCTGACCCTACCTTAATCAGTGCAAGATGTCACTTGCTTTTTTCATTCAAGGGACAAGAAAAAATAGTGTGCTCCGACTAGTCCACACGTTTATGATATTAATTTAATTATTTGAATATATATATTTTAACAGCCACCTGTTAAACGATAAATCGGAAAAGGCGGTAATGATTCTGAATGTGTCAGAGCAACAATAAACGAGAGTGAATATTTAGTTAATTTATTTCAACAAGTATAACATCACACAAGTCTTGTTGTTCAAGACACAGAGTAAATAACTTCCAACTTCACAAAAACAAACTTATCAATGTGATAAATGATGTATAACATTAACAGTTACTTAGAAAAATAACTCGTGTTATAAGACAAAAGGCCTGTGTCGCTATAATCCCTTGATACTTTCGTCCTGGTGACAAGGCCAAGCTCCCGAACAAAGTTTGTCTTTATTTTTCTGCTTTTCAGGTCGACTAGGGCTCTTCTCTCCATCTAACGATTAGGTCGACTATACGGGGGCAGCCTTAAAACAAACAGGAAAAAAAGCTATGAACTCATTGCGTATCCTTAAGGTCTAATAAACATGTTGAGTGCATTTCCTTCCTCATAGAACATTTACAAAGTTGATTTTGTATCGTGCAGTATTTATATCCATGTTTGCTTGCGAGCACTCTTTTTCTCTTACTGCCTGTTGTTAGGGTTTTTTGGTAGTGGTTACCACCACAAAGTAATGATCAGGGGAATAGTGTGAGACACATGGCAGGATGTGATTTGTCCGACTCATGCATGTACTATGTGTGCCCTTGTGCAAAATTCAAAGAAAAGAGGGACCCTCTCATTAAAACATTGCTCCTGGTGTGGATACATTCACCACTGTACTCTTTAACAGTTGCTTTCAACTTCAATTTAAGTTACAATTACATTTCATTCCAGTAGTGAACATATACAGTGGAGAGAACTGAACTAATGGATATGCAGTAGAGGACTTTTAACAGCCACCATTTAAGGGGGGGCTATTAGATTCGATAATTTAGTATTGCCCAAAGGCCACCTTTTTAAATGTCAGATAAATGCACACTAGATACAGTATGAAGTGGGGTTATGTAATGTGAGTGCATCTGTATGTTTGTGTGTTTATTGCAGACTGTGAGTACTTGATCAGACACATGTTAGTGCTGGAGCCCAGCAGACGGTTGACCATGGAGCAGATCTGTAAGAACAAGTGGATGAGACTAGGAGACCCAGACCCAGACTTCGACAGGGTGAGACCCCACTAAAAGTTTCCAGCACTCAGCAATGGGCCTGTTCGAGATGAACTGCGCCTCGCCTGGAAAGTGGATGAGATCAGGCAGCAGGGGGCGGACACAAAAAGTTGCAGTCAAGTCAAGACAGTTTCTAGTAGCCTCCAAAGAATATACAGGAAGTCACAACATGTTTACACCCTGTTAGATCATCTTTAGGCTACCTGTAGTTTGCAGACCATGTTCAGATATATTGTTATTGTTATTATGATCAACCACACAACATATGTTTAACAGATTAAACCTTCATTGCACAACATGAGACACGAAACAGCCTATTATTAAAGTTAAATATTACTATATTAGATTTATATTAGATTGATATTTTATTAAAATCTCTTAGATCTAATTGAGATATAATTGTTATATAGTTTATTTGACCAAACTCGCCACCAGAAAGCAAATAAGCGCTTTTCCTAAAATGTCGCACTGTTCCTTAAACTTAATTTTTTACAATACACGCCCATCCCCATCTCTTCTCCCTTCCAGTTGATAGCGGAGTGCGAACAAGTGAAGACTGAGAGAGAGACGGAGGTCATCATTGAGCAGGTTCTGATAGCCATGTCTGAGATGGGCCTGGAGCGAGAGCGCACACTTAAGGTGGAACACAAATGTCACAGCTACACTTTCAATTTCCAGCGCTGCCTTTTGTCAACAGTCAGCTCAGCATCTTATTTATATCCTGCTTTTTCCTCTCAAAGTCTCTACAAACAGATGCATACGATCACTACAGTGCCATCTACAGTCTGCTGGCTGACCGCCTCAAGAAACACAAGACCCTGCCTGTTGCCCCACCCACACCACGCTCCATTAGCTATCCTCTTAATGCTGTACAGGTAATTCGTTGTCTCTTTGTTGGAATGATTTGATATGATGGTGATCCTATGTGTATCTGTTTATAATATATAATATATCATTTGATTATTTGAAGATATGATCCTTATATCAGGAGCTTCTTCATTGTCATAGAAGTAACGGTTGATTGTTAGCGCTTGAAGAACAGTGGTTTTGTTGAAGGCACCTTAGGACTATTTTTCTACACCACTGTTTCATCAGTTTAACTTACAGTAGTTATCATGTCCAACCACAGAATGTCATTGATTGGTTTTAACCCACATCGGCCAATCCCACTGCACTAAGGAGATTGTTCAAAAACTAGTGCAATCCTCACATGAAGTGTGTGTGTGTGTGTCGTGTGTCGTTTGTGTGTGTGTGTCGAACAGACGGATCCGCAGGGTAATCCCGTTAGCATGACTGTTCCCCATGTCCAGCTCATCAACCCAGAGAACCAGATTGTTGAGGTGAGTTGAGCTGGTTGCGTCAGCCTGACAGTAGTTGGACAGCACTGAGGGTCATCATGCTTGATAATCAAACTAGGACCAGGCAGCTTTCGTTCGAGGAGGAGAAGAAGTGTAGTATAAGTCAGTCAACACAATAGTTTACTACTGTTAGTGTAACCTGGGCTTCATCTCATAGACTGTGATCAGACACATAATCACACATACATGCACACACACTCAAACATAACTCGAACAGCCTCAAAGCTGACTCACAAATGCTGTGAAACACAAGAATGCGTCAGATCACTGCACTGCAGCAGGGATTTTAATAGAAGACCTGAACTTTGAAGCATGTACAGTACCGTCTATTACAATTAAAATACATGTAAAATATGTATTCTGTACAAGCATGCAAGACACACTACCCAAAAGGCTTTTCTAATGACCAAATATGTGTGTGTATGTTTATTGTTTAGCCGGATGGCAGCATGGCACTGGACAGTGATGAAGGGGAGGAACCATCTCCCGAGGCCATGGCTCGCTATCTTTCGATGAGGCGACACACTGTGGGCGTACCAGACCAAAGGTAACACACAACTCTCCAGCCAACTACCAGTGATGTTTCATTTCTTACTACAGAATTATAAGTAGCATTTTTACTCTATAACTGTTAGCTGACAGATGACAGCAGTTTCTTTTGTCTTTTAAAGAAATTGTCTCTGTACTTTTCTTAAAACCATAACTCCAAAATCTCTGTCACCCATTATTTTCTTGCTTTTTATTTATCCTGGTGTGTTTTGTTAATACCCAGGTACAATAAAATGCCAGATCTTTTTACCTTTATAATAACCAGCCATTTGGTGAAAAATCGGTCTTTCGGCATTTCAAAATGTTCTCTGTTTTTGGGGTCCTTCTCATTCGCAATTCATTGATATTACTGTTTCTGCCAACTACTAAGCAAGTCAGGTTATGGTGTCAACTTCAAATCAATCAAATGTTATAATTGATAGTTTTTTAGGAAGTGTTTATTGGTGGGTACATTGATACAAGGATGGTGGAGTGTGGGTTATTTAAGGTGAAGTTAAATATTTGATTTCAAATTAGACATTAACCAGTACATGAGCTAGTTCCTAACATAGAAATGTAGCTAGTGACTCATTACTGGTGTTCTTCCCTTCCCACCACAGGACAGAGATGCAGGAGGACCTCCAGAAACTGCCACCAGGTTTCCCTCGTGGTGCAGTGCCCCAACCCCCATTTCCCCCACTGGCCCCCACAATGGGCCAAATGCACACACTCATGCCCACGCAGAGCTTGCAGCCCACACAGCAGCTGGAGTACAAGGTACAGTCAGTTGGGTTAGATTTGTTGTGGGGGTTTTCAGTTGGTATTAGAAGGCCTCTGGAAGTCATCAGTTCAGAAACCTCCGTGTGGAGGGTCTGCATATTAACTTTATTGATTTCCCCCTCCAATCTGACTTCCTGTGTCTGCTGATCCTTCAGGAGCAGTCCTTGCTGCAGCCACCCACCCTACAGTTGCTCAACGGCATGGGCCCTCTTGGTCGAAGAGCTTCCGATGGCGGTGCCAACATTCAACTACACGCTCAGCTCCTCAAGAGGCCCCGGGGGCCCTCACCACTTGTCGCCAGCCCGGTGAGGATTTCTGTATGAGTGCAATTTGTATTTTCCACCCCTGTGTAAACTGTAGGAGTGCTGACTGGTAAACTCTTTGCCTCTCTTAGCACCCTATCCCTGCGGTAGCTCCCGTGGATGAAGAAGGTTCAGACGGAGAGCCAGACCAAGAGGCAGTACAGAGGTAACCCACGATGATAGTTTTTGGTGAAGGGCTATACTGTACAGAAGTGCTGTCTAAACTGGATACTCTGGAGGGCCCGTAACCTGTGACGGTGGGTCGTGGGTTCTGTGTGAATGTTGAAATAGAATAGTTAGCTTAAAAATCAGTAATTTTCTCAAAGCATCTGCACCGATTTTATTAGTTAGGTTTACGTTCATTCTCTCACTGGATACAAAACTAAGCAAAAAATCACTGGGTTTACAAGTATTAGAATCACGCAGTGGAGATTTATAGACATGTTTATGCACAAAGTTAGAAAAACTGTCAAAATAAGAGGTTTGACAGGCTGACATTAGGGCAGGGTAAGGGTAGGTTTGGTATATAGAGTTGTGGTGTTGGAAGTCCATGTTAGGGTTTCCCAGCTGGTCCTCTTCAGACAGCACTTTCTGTAGACTTCGCTGGTGTCCTGGGTTGCTGGGAGTGAGTGCCTCTAGGCTGCTCTGCTTTTTTCCCATGGGAGGTGGCCACACTGCTGTGGTGCTTACCCAATCTCTCCTCCTTTCTCCATCGCTCAAGTGCCTTCTGCCACAGTTCCAAACTGAATCTGCCACCAAATCCAGCCATCCTATCGCTCAAACTCTTTGGCCAAGAGCTGCTTTATCTTTCCTATTTCAGCAAGTGCCAAAGTATTCTCAGGACTTTCTCACCCTTTCTCACACAGCTTTGCTAACTCTGAAGCTTGCAAAACCAAAGATTTAAAAAATGGCAAGCAGTCCAATCTTTAAATTGGAAGCTGGGGGGTTGTGTGATACCCATAAGCTATAACATCCATCTATGGTATAATTTTATTTTATGTTTTTCTGATTGGCTATGATGATATGAATGATGGCACCCATTGGCAGAGGTGGGAATGGGCGGGCCTTTACCCCCGTCTCCATTAGCCAATGAGGACAGAGAGCTGACCAGCGCTGCTTCCTGTCTCCCACCCTCACCCCCGTCCTCCCCCCCTCCCTGCGGCCCAGGTACCTGGCGAACCGCTCCAAGCGGCACACGACGCACGCGCTCACGAGCACATCGCATGGCGAGCCCTCGGCAGAGTCACAGCGGCCCCAGGGCCCCCGCCAGAGGGGGGGCTGGGCCCCCGACATACACACCCGGTGAGGGGACACGCCCGCTCCGAGCTGTATATGCACAAACACACACACACAAACACACATTCATATTAAATGGGCATATGAAGCCTAACTGTCTTTTTCTCACACACACTCATATACTCACTTGCACACACAGCTGATCTCACACACACATTGGTGATGATGTAGTCACACCAGGTGAAGGTTTGCACCTTCCAAACAGGAAGGATATTTTTTGTCAATAGCGGTGTTAGAGGTGGAGGGTGTGGCACATGACAGATATATCTCCACATCACCATTAATCCATGATTCAAAATAACTGTTCCTTCCCCACAAACCTGGAAAGATCAGGTATGTGACATTGTTCTTGTATGAGCAGCCTCTCGAAACTAAATCATTACCTCTGTGTATTTTCTCTCCAGTAGAGGTCATACGCTCATCTTCCTCTCACTCAGTGTAGAAAGTCCGTTGAGATACTGGGTTCTTTTTTTCATTGTGAAGTTATGTATTGGGATGCAGTGGTAGGCCGAACCTGTTGTCTAAAATATTGCTTGATATCGATAAATGTGTGCCTGTTGTTTAAGGAAGCGCGATCTGTTCAGCAACAACGGATGTGTAAAGCTAGGAGCTGTATATGTTCGTTTATGGAATACTTTTTGCCAAGCAAATGCTTTTTCGATTTAAAAATATATATATTTCTGTAAGTTTTTGTCTCATTGATTGAAGAAGATGCAGTGACCTCTGACACAAAGTGTCAAGGATTTAGTGGGATTATAGAATATCGTCAGAGTGCAGTTGTCAAAATATTAGGACCAGCTTCCAAACACTCAGTCGTAGTCAATTTTGCGCAGTTGTTCAAATTTGGAATTCTCCTCCGTCATGATTGACAGGATGGATGAAATAATTTAAAGGATAGCTACTTGTTTGCCATATCAGTTGTGTGAATTTGGGGGTCCTAATGTTTTTTACACTCTCAACGTGGCATCTTAGATACTTTAACTTGTAACATTTGTGCTGAACTCACGCTTCTCATATGTCTGTTTCTGTGTCTGTATGACTGATTGTGTCTGTGTCGATGTGTTTGTGTTATCTGTCATGTTGTGTCTTTGTGTGCGTGTGGCTGTGTGTGCATTTGTGTACACGTGTGTTTGTGTCTGCTCCCTGTGGTCCCCTCCACAGATCCAGCTATAAGGACTGTAACACCCTTCATCTCCCCATGGAGCGCTTCTCACCTGTCAGACGGTTCTCTGACGGCGCTGCCACCATCCAGGCCTTCAAGGCTCATCTAGAGAACAGCAGCCTCATTAAGCAACTCAAACAGGTACATCAGTCTGCTAAGCATCAAGAGATAGTATCAGCTTTTTTCTTGCTTGTTTAGCTTTATGAAAAAATACATTTTAGCTGTAGGAGAAAATAAGGCAACATTTCTGTTGAGGGTGCCTTGGGTTATTGACCAATAACAAACAATTGCTTCTCCAGCTCCTAAGATTTCAGAAATGTCCTTCTGGTCTGTACTCTGCTTTGCCCCAACCCCCCTGCCTTTTAAACCGCTCATAGAAGGGCAAACAGTGGCTTTCAAGGCAAAAAGGGCAGAAATAGTAATACATTGCGGCTAGTCTGATGCAATTTCTTACTCTTAGGAATACAAACCAAGATTGTTCGCATTTATGCAGCAGTCAGTGTAGGAGCAGTCACTCACTAGAAGTGGACTACTGCATGCAACGTTATCAACACGTCCACTCGCTCGTTGTGAATTTTCTGGACAGCAACCTGGTCTATTAACACATGGGCATTATACAGACTTTGTACTAGGAAGCTGGCAGGGTAAAGTCGTTTTTATGTACGGTCCAGCTGATTTAGACATTTGCACTCTCACATACAGCTAGATATAGATCTAGATATGTCAAGATAAATTCACATTAGCAGTGTATGTGTGTGCAAATACGCTTTAAGACTAGAGCAGGGGTTAACAAAGTGAGAGGTGAAACAAGGTCACAGAAGCACAGGTTGAAAGGTTTACTTGTGAGCAGCAATGCCACAAGAGACCCCCAGGACTCATTCTGCTAGGACAGGGATGGAACTTGAAATAGAATTGGACATGATATGATGGTCAGATCTGGGAATGGAAGATAAAGATATTCTGGCAATGGTCACATAAAGATATGTGTGGTGAGACCAGGCGACAAAGTAGTTACAGAGTAGGCAGAGCTGGGACGTAGTCTTAGGGAGTACTTGACAGTAACGGTAACCAGCAGGGAGGAAAAGTGACAAATAGAAAACTTCTACTGTTTTTTTTTGTACCCTTTCAGATATGTCAGCACAGTAACAACATTAAAACATTTTGTTTTGAGCTGTCAACATATGGGACAGATGCTCCTAACAGATTATGCCTTTCAGAATATTCACAAAGTGCATCTGAGCAACACTTTTAATGCATTGTAAAATTGAATGGTGTATTAAAAACACTAACACCCGAACAAAAATTTACCATGAAACAAGGGAAGTGTCCTGTGGTTTTGACAAAAGATGGTCACAGTGAGGTCCACATCTAGCTTCACTAATCTTTATCCTGCTTTTTTCTGTTCGTAATCAAGAGATGTCCGGAGCGTAAACTTGGTGAACTAGTCTGAGCATTGTTCTGAAAGTAGGACTCATTTTAGACTTGCTGTATCTCTGACGCACAATATACACTGTTTCTTAAGGGGAGTTCTAAGTTGTTCTCATGAGAAAAAACCTCAAGCTGTATCTTGAGACATCACATCATTTGCAGTGACACTTGTATGAGATTACCTCACCCAGTCAGAGGCTGGATAATCATCATGTTCACAGCGGGTGCTTCATCCTTGGCATGTACCGACGTGCTGGGATTATCATTACTCCCAAGAGTTAAGAGGGTTAATATGGATAGGAGAGAGGTTAACACACTTGACCTACACCCTGAAAGGACCACTGAAAAGATCCACTGGAAGTAAACAGGTGCTGGGACGAGTGAGTGCATCATATGTATTGTAGCTGGTCATACAAGCTGGTTTTTCATGGGTTTGGAGTGGACTTGGAGATATTAGGTTTCAACATCTAGCATGTGGCAGGAAATTGGTTCAAACTTGCATTCAGTAAAAAGATTAAATTTTTTTGCCAGTATGGACATGAGATGGGTTTTAAATTGCATACATACATGGAGTGCTGCGTGGGTGTTAAAAAAAAAGGTATCCCTCTGGTGCTCTTCAGTTAGGGGATCCTACTAGTTAAGAACTGTTGAAGAAATCTGAGGCACTCAAGAGAGCAGTGATTTTAAAAAGCCTGTAATATATCATGGCTATTTACTCAAAGTGATAGTTTCCTTATATCTGTTGACAAGCAGTCACATGATGAGTATGGACAGGTAAGCAGTCACATGACAGACGATGTTCAGCAGAGGAAACTACACCAACATCAAAAAGCCAGCAAAATGTCAGGATAAAACAATTAGCTATCCCTGGTGAGCTCAGCAAAACCTATTTTCAGCCATTGTTTGATTACTTTTTATTTATTTATGCTACTTTTCTAGAGCCAACACATTGCCCACAGTTGGAATTACTTCCCATGTTAGCATGTAAGTTTAATGTTAGGGCCACATGTCTGTGTTTCAAAAAGGAGTGTGAGCAGCTCCAGAAAATGTATGCTGCCCAGCAAGACGAGCGATTCCTGGAGCACACCCAGCAACAGCATATCCTCTACCAGCAAGAGCAACAAATCCTCCACCAGCAAATCCAGGTATTTCAACCTGTCAGACAGCTGTCATAAAGACGCCTTTACAAGCCAAATCTACCCATGGTGGTTACAGAAAGTACTACGATGTTAGTTCTGGCAGGATTGGTTTAGCTGTTTTACGTGAGTGCTTATAGCAGCTCTTCATAAGTCTTACATTATGCATGCATTATACTGAACTATGCAGGTATAAAGTGTGTATATATAAGCTTTATAGAAAATGCTATTGATTTGGTTCACCTGAGGCTTTGATATCCTGCACTGTGGTTTCATTTGTCTCTCCTTTCTTTGGGACACACACACACACACACACACACACACACACACACACACACACTTTGTATCTTGTCATGCAGCCAGCCTCACCTAATCAATCATAATTAGATTAACATATAATTATATTAAAGAATCAAATGTAATTTCTCTTTACCCGCAGGGTCTGTCTTTGGGCCATGGAGAGAGCCAGCCCAGTCACCTAACCCACCAGCTCCAGAGGTGAAAAACACACACACACACACACACACACACACACACACACACACACACACACACACACACACACACACACACACACACACACACACACACACACACACACATTACTCATCAGCTATTGAACAGTGAACAATAAACTTGATACTGTGGTGCAGTGCTATCGACTGAAGTGTTACATCATTGTCGTATCTCTCTCTTCTCCTCTCTTCTCCTCTCCTACTCTGTCCTGTCCTCCCTCAGGTTGCGTATCCAGCCCTCCAGCCCTCCGCCAACACATCCCAGCAACCACCTCTTCAGACAGCCCAACCAGAGCCCTCCGCCTGGCTCTGCAGGCATAATGCAAGGGCATGGTTAGTAATACTGTTGCTAGAGTGCTTAAATGCTTCTTAATCTTGTAACTGATGTAAACTTGGTTGTTCGATTAGAAATGTATTGATCCATCTTCCTCTCTTCCAATCGTCTGACAGCTTTTATAAATTGTTTATCTCAAAGCTCAGTTTTGACTGTTTAGACACATCTTACTTTTGTTATTCATGGTTATGTGGATTATAAGGTATTACATTTGTTTTTTTATTTTTTTTTTTTTTTTTATTTTTAAATATATATACCAGGCTTCAAGCTTGTAATCCAGTCTCTGGTTTTTGTCATCTATAAAAAAAAAAAGCCTGACATCTGACATATGTTCGTTTTTGACATTAGGTTATGAATAATGCACTAGAAGGAGTAGTTCATGCTGACTCGATGAAAATGTTTTTTCATGTGTGACCAGGGGCAGCAGGTGGGTAAACATGTCAGTCATCAGAAACACAATAACTTGTGATTACGATGTTTAGATAACTGATTTTATTTACTCATTGTAACAGGGACCATTACTTAGGGTTAGGAAAATTTGAAAGTTGAAAAAGTAGTAATAGACATTGGCAGTTGGCAACCATCCAAGCAAGCCTAAATAGATAAAAACAAAGCCCAACTAAACTATGGAAAATTAAAATTAAAACATTTTTAAATAAACAAGGGTTCCTGAATCGATCAGTGCAATGCTTTGAATCTTAAAATCCTTATTCGGAATGCTTAATTGTTCCCTCTTTGTAAAAATTCACTCTCATTGCCAGAGGGATTTTGGTGGATCAGAGACTACTTAAAGGATGTTGTCGGCGTTCAGTAACTTTGGCCCGAGGTTTCGCTCTCATGACTCCTCTGCTCTCCTCTCTCCTCCTAGGAGGTCCGTCATCAGTTCAGTACCAGCACGGTACTCCAGCGCTGTATCAGGGCCAGAGTGGCAGTCCACCTCCCACAGGCCTGGCACGAGTCTCTCTACCAACCAATCAGCAAGCAGCATCTGCACGCCCCACCGTCCCACTGGCACAGGGTGTACCTCAACAACAGCAGGTGACTGCAAAGAGCCAATAAAATAGAGTTTTTGTCATTGTTCTCCCTGCTAATGGCTAAATGTGTTGTTGTTTTTAATGATCTGACATTGACTGTTTGTACAGGTGACCATTCAGGTTCAGGAAGTGGAGCTGGGAGGTGGGGCGCAGCGTCAGGGAAGCTTTTTGTCCACGCCAGGTGGACACAGAGTCCTCGGGAAGCAGCTGAGCGCAGACAACGCCGAGTCGCACAGGTGACCCAACCCATCATGTCACCACGTCCCCTGATGGCGGCCAAACCCTCCCAACAATACCAATGGACTGTTTCTGTGTCTTCTTTTTCTTCCATCTCTTTTATTTTTGTTTTATTACTCTGCATGACCTCACCACTCCCAATAGACATTTCCCATTTGTTGTATTTTTCTGTTTATGATTGTATATTTCTCACTGTTTGGTTTGTTTTACATTTCTGCTATGTCCACTGATTTTCTACAAATTGTATTTTGAAACTTCAGACCGTAGTAATGCTGGTCAGGCCAGAGATTTTATGTGTAAGAGAGCAGACTTTGTTATCAGTATTGAAATTTAATGTAATTCCCTCATCAACTTTGCTGAGATGACATCCTCAACAAATTCTCCACCTCAGTGTAGCTGGGTGAGTGGTTGGGTGCAAGTGTTTTGCTGTATGTAAAGTAGATCAGTCACCCTGTGACCCCCTACATCATCACCATAAATAGCCCCCTGCAATCAGGACTGCCTTCACTGAAAGAACGTGTAACAATCTAATTTATGTTTTGGAAATGACGTTACACCTCTCAGTGAATACCTGAACTTGGACTTGACCTGAAATGTTTAGAGGCTGTCGGTGTGCGGTGATTTAATGAAGACCTTTTGTAGAATGTTGGAAGAAGGACTGAGAGCGTGTTGATGTTAGACAACAGTTAGCCAATTATTCTCTGCATTCCCTCTTTTCTCTCCAGTCGCAGCCTTGGTCGCTTCACATCGGGCTATGACCAGGCTCAGTTCAATCCCCACCTTTTCTCTGGCGACGCCACCTCCCGGGGCGTCTCTGGAGTGGTCGGCTCCTACAGTCCCTACCTGCAGGGTGCCTCCCTCAAAGTCCCTGGCCTGGAGGGTTACCAGAGCGGGGTGGTGGGGACCAGCAGCTACGGCACCCCCTCTACACTACAGCAAGCCTTGCTCTCCCCAACCCCTTTGGACTACCGCCCCCCACAACAGCACGTTACTCCCACACTGCAGGGCCTCCTGTCCCCCCGCCACTCTTTAACAGGCCACGCCGACCCCAGGCTTCCCCCCCAAGATCTGGCTGCCTTGCTAAAGAGGCAGAGCCCTCGGCCGTGCCAAGCACCCCCCACACCACCCAGCGGTGCACCCCAAGAGTATGAAGAGATGCTGCTTCTCCGCCAGCTGAGCCAGGGTGAGAGCTTGGAGCCACAGGCACCACAGGGTGCCTCTGGGGGCCAACACTACCATCACCTCCTCCAGATTCGACCCCCGGATGTCCAGCCGCAACAGCACCCAGCCCAGACACCTTGCCCAGGCTTACCTCACTCAGAGAGCATGGAGGAGGATGAGGTGCCAGCTGGGTACCATCACCCACATGAGGGCCTGCTGGCCAAGGCAGTTGAAGGTCATGAGCTCCTGGGGCCTCCCCGAGGAGGCACCCCACCCTACAGCTCCCCGACACACAGGCATGGTGGCTACATAAGAAGTGCTCCAGCAAATAGAGGTAAGAGTAAAAACTGAATACAGAGATTCAGAGTCCAGTATCTCTTCTGACTGATCGTTTACTTTGACCTTTGTGTTGCTGACTTACATTAAAAGATCTTACAGACATTAAGATTAGCATCGGAGTAGTTTATTTTTTCACTTGCTGTGTTAAAATCCTTACATACGTAGTAGTATATTTATTATATGCACATGCTTAATCTTTTCTCTCAGAATCTGAGCATGTGGAGTGCAGGCCCCAGGGGCAGGCAATGGAGGTGCCTGATCATAATGGTGTGGGCTATTCGCGAGGTCCCCAGGGTGACGCCTATAGGTCCCGTGGACAGCTACAGCGCCACCACACCATCCAGACCTGTGACGATGCCTATGTAAGTGAAACCTCACTGCTTGTTTTTGTAGTTAAAGCAAAATTATGTAAGAATTTGTTGTGATTTGGCAATACCACTGTCATAAATATAGACAAAGGGATGATGGGAACAATCTCACATTTGCATGACATGTTATTATTGGCTGGGTGTTTATTGTATGTTGTGTGTTTATTGAGTATGAATTATCACCTTATCTTGCTGGTCAGTGCAGTGCTGCAGAGAGCCTGTTTATTACAGTCCCTCCAGAAAAACGTGATTATGCGATCGCATAATTCAATGCATGATCAGCCAAAGTCCGAATATTTATGCGGGGCCCGCATTTTTTCAAATACGCCGCACTTTCGCCGCTTAAATTGCCGATTTCCGCACATAATATGCGGGGCTTGCATGATTTCATAATCCCCACATTTTCGTTGCAGAACAGTCACATATATCTTAGCAGAAAGTTGAAAAATGTTGCGTTTACTTCACACAAGAGCAGCCATTTTCCCCTGTTGCCATGGGAATGTTATGAAGTGACGTAATTACGCGGCGTGAACATCATCGAAAAGCTGCAAACCCCGCGATGAAGCCATAATGAAGCCCGCAAATCAGTCTCATATTTTATTTATCCATTTTTACAGAAGTTGTAGCATAGTCCTTTTGTAAAGCTACAGAACTTGTTTGACTCACCAATGTTTTGTAAGTTTGAGCCATGTGTTTATTAAGGTCTGAAATAAAACAAGATTAGAACTTAAATATTCCCAGCACTTTCTGTGATGTAGTATGCTTGCTTATCATAGGAAGTAATAAGAAATGACTCTTTACGTTAAGGTAGTAGCCTAATGAGAACAGGCTGTTGGGGGAATCACTTTTTTTTTCTCTTTTTCATCAAACTGCAATTTTTGCAAGTTCCCGCAATTTCGTTGCATAAAATTGCATAAATATGCCACATATTCCATTGTATTTTTTTAGAAAACGTGCCGCATAATCAAGGATTTTTGCCCGCAACAATCACAAAAAACTCAGCATTTTTCTGGATGGACTGTTATTAGGATGATAGCTAAAGGAAGAATGTAATGAAAGGAAATGTACTTATTTATGTTATTATGCTAAATGGTAAATGGACCTGTACTTGTATAGCACCTTTCTAGTCTTCCGACCACTCAAAGCGCTTTTACACTACGTGCCACATTCACCCTTTCAAACACATTCACTCAGTGATGGCAAAGTCCATTGAACAGAAACTAACATTCATACACACTCAGACACCGATGCACGGCATCGGGAGCAATTCGGGGTTCAGTATCTTGCTCAAGGATACTTCGACATGTGGCACCAGAAGCCGGGGATCGAACCCACAACCTTCCGATTAAGGAACGACCCGCTCTGCCTCTGAGCCACAGCGAGACATCGACATCATAGCTTCTAGAAGCTGTTCAGTAAGTATCAGTCTAAAACTGTTGCCCACTTTCTGTCCAGGATCAGGCAGACCCCATGTCTGGGATGAGCCTGTTGGCTGGGAAGGCACTAAGCTCCGCTCGCATGTCAGATATTCTCAGCCAGACGTCACTGACAGGAAGCCAGCAGCTGCACCAGCGGGAAGAGTCGGGTGAGTAGGAGATGTGCATTTATCTACCTTCAAATACAAATTGTTTGGATTTTCCTTTGTCCATGTTGGTAAATGACCTGTGTTCCTCATGCAGTGTGTGATGTGGAAGGGGAGCTCCATGCGGCAGCCTGCTACCCCTCCTCCTGCACCAGTGACATGCTCCTCAGCTACAAGCCCCCTGACCTGCAGTACAGCATGGAGCAGGCCGGGGTCTAGCACAGGTACGCACACGCTCACACACACAATTCAAGATTTAAGTGTGTATCACCTCTCTTATTCTAAATGAGCAGGGTATCAGTCAAGTAATTGTCCAGCAGGTCCTTTTTGGCATTTATGGTTTACTCAACATTTATTACCTGGCTGTTTTTTGTTATGTGAGGAAGTGACCGTGTCTATAAAAAGTATTACCTCTCTTGGATCTTTTCATACTTTGTTTTACAAATACCATTAAACGTTTTGACGCTGATCTCTCTCAAATGTCAAAATGAAAACCAATTAATCCGATTTATGTTTGAATATAACACACAAAATGATTGATGACTTAAAGCAGTCAGAACATATAGCCTGTTGAGTCTTATTGCTTTATGATTGACTTTACTAGTTGCCAATTTGTTTTGAATGTGTGTAGTTTTTGACAGGAGATTGACTTTCAGTTTTGGACCTTCCAGATACAGCTCATAAAAGATAACCAAGTTAGTCCTCCATAAATTCAGGGGACTGGTGAGACACAGATTACAAAAATGTGTGGTCTTCAAGGCCAAACATTCAGTTTCTTCTTTCCCTCTCCTTTTAGGATGGGGTGTATCCTGTGTACAGCGGTCCATATCAGCCATCCTAAGTTGCGTTGACTTGAGTTGAGCAGCATCACGCCAAACCACCGTCGTCTGCCCAAGCGGGGGGGCGCTCTACGTCCATCTGTCTGTCTCCATCTGTCCCTGGGAGGGCAGTCTGCGCAAGAGAGGGGGAGTGTGGGTGGGTGTAGACATTAGAGGGGTTGGGGTCCACAGGTGGGGGGGGGGGGTCCTCGGGGTTCAAAAGTCAAAGTGCCAGCATTTTCTGCACAGACATCCAGCATTCATCGCCGCAGGTTGTCTCCTCTTCTCACCTCGCATCATGGGTAGATTGGGGTTCCACTCCTCCCTCTTTCGACTCAACCCCCTCACCTCCTCCTCCCCCACGCCCACCTGCTGTCCTGACCTAATCCTCCCCTTTTCACCCTTCGTCTTCTATTAACTGTTGGCATACTTCATTACGTGCCTCATTGGCCAACACATCGATACAGTCATATTTGCAAGAACATAGTCCGATAACACAAAGAAACATACACACTGCTGCCACAAACCCAAAGTATTCACATTAGGAGTGTGTGTGTGTGTGTGTGTGTGTGTACGTGTGTGTGTACGTGTGTGCGCGTGCGCGCCTGTGTACGCATGACTGAGAAGAACAGGCGATTGGAGAGGAAAGGTGTCTTGGGTTCAGACTGCTCCTCCTTCTCTCCCCCCTCCTGCTGTACCACAGCAGATCATTCCGGAGCAGGCTGAAGTCTCAGCAGTGACGGCCCCCTTTTCGGCCGGGTGGCGGGTGTTTTTGGTCAGGCTCCAACCGGGCAACAAAACCGCTCTCTCCAAAGATGGAGCTCAGTGACATCACACAGGACAAACCAGCTCTCTCATTGTTTTTGTTGTTTTGTTTTTGTTTGTTTTTTGTTCTGGCATTCATTTTATTTTTTATTTTTATTTTAAAAACTCATTTTTACGGCTAATGTCCATGTAGGCATTATGGTCAATATTGTTACTCTTATTGTTATAACTGTTTTCTGTAAAAGAGGTTTATTATAATGAATATTATTATTATTATTATTATTATTATTAAAGGAAAAAACAGTTCTGTGTTGCAAGGAAGACAACATTGTTCTTTGATTACTTAAGTAATTCTGCACTTTCGGTTCAAGCTATCCTCTCTGTTTCCACCCCCATTGCAGTTCCTCTCTCTCTCTCTCTCTCTCTCTCTCTCTCTCTCTCTCTCTCTCTCTCTCTGTCATACTGTTACTCTGCTTTTCAAACCTTCTTCCCATCTCCTGCAGCCCTAACTTTCTCACGCTGTGTTACCCCTTTTCTCCATCCTCCTTTCCCTTGTCAGTGACAGTGTATTGCATTGTGGGTAGTTTTACCAGACATTTGCTCCTTTCCTTGTACAGTGATGCCATGTATAGAACGCTATTGCAATTTCTGTATCAAATCTTTTCTTTTTGTTACTTTTTTTGGTTGTTTTTAGGCTTTTTTTATATTGGTATTGTTTATCATTTGTATTTTTTGGATGTCTTCAAAATGTTTTCTTTTTTGTTTTGTTTTTGTTTTATGAATCTTGAGATTTCTAGCCAAAAGAGGACAGAGAGAAGAGAGACAGTACTCTTTCTCTGTCGTAAAAAAGATTGTTCTTATTTGTTTTAATATTATATCGAGACACTTGAATAAGAGGAGAGTAATTATTTTGTGTTTCTTTTTAAAGTATCATTTCAATCGATGTTGTGACTGTCATTCTTGTTGATGTTGGGCCTGTTTTCTGTTAATGGGGTAGTTGTGGCAGGCTATACAGGGTCAGGCTTTGGGCTTTGTCTGGGTTGGTTCGGGTGCTACAGAGACTTAACACTTAAAAAAAAAAAAAAAAAAAAAAAAAACAAAGACAAAAAACGAAGGAATAACTTGTAAAATAGCTGACATATCATCCTAAGCATCACAAGTGTGGAGACGGACAAACCCACTTCTCTTTCTCTCTCTTGCTGCCCTGCCTATCTGCTGTGATCCTTCCACCTTCTTTTACTACATCGGCTTCTGATCGGATGACGCCTTACAGACATGGCCCCTCCTCCCAAACTAATCTTGTCACTCTGGCAACCAAGGAGGAAACTACAACTACTATTACTCAACCCCCCCCCTCCTCTCCCCGCTTTTGGTTTTCTTGGACTTACGTCGTTTTTCGGCCTCGCTTTGTTCTCCTGCCCCAAGCCTGGAAGGGAAGATGGGAGGCAGGGTTTCATTAACGGTTGATGGATCTCGTTGCAGTTGGATACACCTGGACGCACCTCCAAAACCATAAAAGGGAAACATTTCAACAGGTGACTTCAGGAATAAACTGTTTGAATTGGACTTCCACAGCAGAGGAATACAAAGTCGTGGTCAGAGCAGGGCTGGGTGTGCCCACCTTAAACGGGTCCGCCAAGGTCTGTGCCCTAAGCCGAGTCGGGCTCAAGCACAGTCGGATGGAGAATACAGCACACTGGGGACCACAGCAGAAGATTGAACTCCTGTCTCTTTCTCCCTTTTTTTAAAATTTAATTTTATTGTTTGCTCTCTACTTATCCTCCCATATACAATACCCTGGGATACTGAGTCTGTATTGGGCTAGCAAGAGACTGTGGCGCAAAGAATACAGCTCCACTCGTATGTGTTTATACTGGCCGGATTCCACAATAACCTGGCTGCAGCGGTTGACTTTTCATATGCTATTTACATCTGAGAGCTGCAGATGTTGTCTTGCAGCGCCTGTGCTTTCCATTCGCACCCATGTCACTTCCTGTTTACCAACATCCACTCTTCATCAGAGCGGGTGGGGCTAGCGTTAGCGATAAATCTAAATCTCTTCAAACAAAGAGTGCAATACAGAGAGTGGGACGGATTTCTGAAATGAACTCGATGTGAGAGGTTTTCTGTTTTCTTCCCAAACTGAGTTAATGTCTCTTTGGGCAGAAGAAGCTCGTTTCCATTCCATTCAGATCTCATTCATTCCTCTTTCAGATCTGCCCTACTGTTTTCTCTCATTGTTTACACCAAGCCAAAACTGAGATCTGGATGAGAAAGAAATGGAGTACTTGTGAGTACTTGTTGGGAATTGGAGAGGAAACGACTGGAATGGAATACATTGCATGTCTCTTGTCCCACGGCAGGCTAGAAACTCTAAAGTTACAAACCAGAGGTTCCACTTTGTCTAATATGGTGACCGGTGGCGGAGCTGTTGTTTCGGGGAAGAGCGGAGGCACACAGGAAGGGACAGCTGGAGTGGATGGAAAGCACTGCAGATGATTCAGAGGTAATGGGGAGCAGAGCGCTGTTTCACATACACCTTCTGCCTGATCAGACTGACCCTTCTCCTCCCTCCTTTCTTTTTTTCTGTCTTAACTCTTCCATCCCTCCTCCTCTCTTTTCTCCTCCCTGCTCAGCAAGCCAGCTCTCTGCTCTATTCCTGTTTCTTAGGTCATTTTGTTTTCTATTGGTTCATTTTGTCTTTATTTGTTTTTATGTTCATTTCTGTTGAGTACAAAAATACTAAAGTGCAACAACAATGATTAAAAAGAATATCAACCAAACTGAGATGAATAAATAAATATATATAAATAAAGAAATAATTTAAAAAGGTTATGACTTGTGTGTCTCTGCTTTTCTGGATTCAGCATTATATGTTCTTACAGTGCAGTTTCAGAAGTTACTTATTAATATTCTGGCTCCGTGTCGCTGGAAGACCATAAAGTGTTTGCATGTTTCACCCTGCAAGTTGTGTTTTTTTTTTTTTTTTTTTGTTGTCAGACTGAAAATAAATATGCCGAACATAATCTAATGATGACGCAGGTGCACATTGATTTGCAAAATAGCAACACAATGGAGTAGCAGTTTAGATTTCAGTTTTAGCACAGGTAACAAAACACAAAGACATGAATACATTAATGGGGCAGAAAAGGATTGTGAAGGTGACCCTGGGGAAAAAAAAAAAAGCAAATAGGAATCTCCCAAAAACTGACAGTTATAAAATATAACCAGTGACAAATGAACTGAAACTGGATTAAAAAATTTGAAAAAAGTTAACAAATGTAAAACACCCCAGCATGACCGGAAAAACCAATGATTATGAATAAAATTTAAAAAATACCGAAGGTGTGGACTCAAGTTACTGTACATGACTTGGACTTGAGTCACAGCTTTGATAACAATAGACTTAACAAAATCAGAAAAGACCAATGACTCGTGACTTTACTAAGACTTGAGCCTTTTGACTTGAAAATACCTGATGCAGTCCCCAGCCCAAAGATTATATGTTAATTACAAAGTCTGCTACAAATCAACCAATTTCTGTTCATTTTCTTAAAGAGACCCTACTCATTGAACCAGTCCCACAGCATCCAATCAAGTTGCAGGAGAGAACCATGAAGATGAAAGTTACAATTAAAAAAAAAAAATGACACTAAAGATCATTTTATTATCCTCGTTGTGTTGTAGAAATGGCAGTACGTTTTGGTGAAGAGCGCATTGTAACTTGTTTAGGACTCAAAACTCAAAGTCTAGGACTTGGGACTTGACTCGGATTGCAAATCGGAGTGCAAATATTTGAGACTTACTTGTGACTTGTATGCATGGCATTCAAAACAAAGACAAAAATTTAAGTATGCTCGTGTGAGAGGATGATGTCGAAAATGTAGCCCGACCAATACTGAATTTTTGAGGACGATATTGATATTGACAGAGTTAAAAAAAACAAAAAACAATTAAGTTTATTGTCCATTTTAATTGTTTTTAGTTATTTTTTTTACATACACACATATAAACCATATGCATTGCTGGAATTGGTTTATTTTTAGCAATAGTGATAAAGTTACATACAGAGCGAGACAGTTTACAGTGTACAAACCAACTCATCAGTGCTCTCTGGAGGACAAACTGTGTAATGTCTGACATATACACTGATACTGGTATATCTGAAATAATCTCTAATATTAGCTGATATCTGTCTTACCGTCCACTGCGCTTTATCGGATGGACAACTGACAGGAAGTAGGTCTAAATCTCCGAGTCTCTCTGTTGTTTTATAACATACAGAATAAAGACATGTTGTAGATGAGTGATACAGTTCTTTAAACACGATTGTTAACGTGTTTGCTGTGACTCTTGGTTCTTCAGTGTGTGTACGTTCAGGAGTTACCTGTGTCTAGCACCAAGTTACAATACTGGTGGGAAGTGTCCTAAATGTGCAGCTTCTTTCATCATCTATAGACGTGTCCTAACCTTCTGTTGACCTTGTTCCACAGATGATTGAAGTTCTAGGAAAAGGATATTCGATGGCCTTCCCACCAAAACATGTTTTCCAGGCAGAGAGGAACTTCAGGACAGAGTTTCCTCAGAGGTATAACAGGCTTCTTCTTCAATGCGCCAAAACAAAGCCAGTGATTTTTATTACGAGGAAATGGGATAAAAATGAAATGGATTTCCTGAAGAGTAATTTAAGCTTGGATTTTGGCATTAGCACAGGAAATATACCTGTTCTGGGACTTTCTTTTGTCTGCCTTTTGGCTGCAGTGCTCTGCGCGCTGCTGCTCAGGTCTGTACAGCTGCACTGCAGAGGCTTTTCAGTCCAAAATAATTGAGCTCAGACACCGTGAGCCATGTGGAGTTTCTGCCTTTCCATATGAGGGGTTACTTTAACATGCCTGATGATGGACGGGAATGATGGAGGGCAGGAAGAGATCTGTTTATCCCTTTAAACTGACGGTTTACTCTCCTATATCCACCACAACTCCATGTTCAATCACCCAGTAGATCATTAAAGATTGATGTTTTGCACAGAGCTCCTTCTATTCTCCTCTCCTCTCCTCTCTTCTTCTCTCCCTCTCCTCTCCCACATCGTTTTTTTCCTTCCCTCACGACTCTGTACCCACTCTCCTCTCCCTCCTCTTCTCTTTCTTCATCCTCTGCTCCCTTCCCCTTCCTTCCCTGCCTCCATTCTCTCCTCTTTCTCTCCCCAGCCGCCCACTCCTTTCCTCTCTCCCTCCCCTCATCCCCTCCTCCCATCCCTCTCTCCCGTCCTCAGAGTGGCAGCAGCGTGACTGCCTGCGTCAGCCAGCCCATGCCAGCTAGTGAACGCTGCTACTGGAGCTGCCGTACCCTGCAGAGAGCCTTGTGTGTGTGTGTGTGTGTGTGTATGTGTGTGAGAGTGTGTATGAGTGTACGCAGATGGGAAAGCAACTGAGTCAGGGAGGGCTACCTCTCATCTTGCTGTTATCACCATCCTTCACTCTCCCTCCTCTCCTCCTCTGCTGCCATGGAGCTCCAGCAGGCTGAATCACAACAGCGTCTGCAGAAAGGGCTGAGGTAATACTGTGTGTGTCTGTATTCAAGCGCCTACATCTGCATTGAAATGTCTGCATGCAGTGTATGCAAGTGAAGTATGCGTATGTGTTAGACCTACAGTGTAATGTGTACCCCCTTGCTGCATATCATAGCGCTTGTCAGTGCAATCCCAGCCTCCTCAACCTGAAGGCATAAAGCTGTAACGCCTTCTATCATGTGTGTGTGTTAAAAATAATGTTCTTGGTCGTGTTAATATGTGCAGGATGGCTCAGTTCCTGCTTTCGTCCGAGGTGCTCACATAGATCACGTGACTGCAAGATTGCAAGCAAGCACTAGACATGACTCATTCCCCACACTTACTGTATGTGCCTGTGCACAATCACCAAGCGGGCCTGTGAATGTTTTGTATTGTTGCAATGGAGTAAGTCTGCAGACCAAAGCAGGCAGTGACCAGGCAGTGAATAACTGTAAAGTGAAAGGCACGTCGCTGTTTGTTAAAACTCTGTTGTGCTGAGACTTCATTTGAAAGTTTCATTTCAGTAGCTACAACTGCTTTGTGCATCTCAAGCTCACCCATACAAACCTATGGAGGACAGAAACCGCCAAAATAAATAAAATAAATCAATAAATTAGCTATTAAGTAAATAAATATGACATTAAATGCCCCAAAAATAAATATTTCTTAATTCATTTATAAATGTGACGTAAATTGATATTTCTGTTTAAATCTGTGTCTGTATTTATTTACCTGTGCATTATTCCCATATTTATCTACTTTCCCATTTTACTTATTAATTTAGTCTTTTTAAAATGTGATTTATTTTTTCCTGTATTTATTTCTGTATAATTTTCCCTTTGCATTTCCCCCTATTTATTTCCCCAAACACACATAGTAACATTTATTCTGTGTCCTGTTTTTACTTTTCTGTAATCATTTCTGCTGCTAGATAATTGAATACAGGGCAAATGAATGGAGAAAGTGGCTTGGTAACATAGTAAAGTGACTCATAGGCTCCGTAGGTAGAGCTGTTGTCTCGTAACCGTAAGGTTTCATTTCCCAGCTAGAGTAATGGAAATGTATTGACTCGTAAGTAATTGAGTAAATGGCAATATGGTTGAGTAAATGCTGAGTAATGAAGCAAGTTACTCGTAAAGGGTTTAAATAATGGAGTAAGTGACTCATTAATGTAGTAAAATTACTTGAAGGTTATTGAGTAAATGACTTAGTAATGGAGAAGTAGTTGAGTAAGGAGAAGGAGTTGATTTACAATCTGAAGGTTGCTGGTTGAATCCCAAGCTAGGGTAATTGTTGGGTAATGGATTAAATGACTAGACAGTTGAGTAAATGGCTGGGTAGCTGAGTAAGTGGTAATGGAGTAAAATGTAATATAACAAATGAGTACTGAGCATTGACTGGCATTGAGTAAAATGCCTCTGTAATGGTTAAGTAGTTGAGTGAGGAGAAGTATAGCCCAGAAGTTAGTGCTGTATTGTAAACGGAAGGTTTTTGGTCTAAATCCCAGCTTGGGTAATGGCTTGGTAATTGAGTGAAGGGTTAAATAATGCGGAAAGGGGCTTGGTAATGGAAAAAATTACTTGCCTAAATGGCAAGATAGTTGAGTAAATGGCTTGGTGATGGTTAAGTACTTGAGTGAGGAGGAGGGTTAGGGTTAGGGTTAGGGTTAGGGTTATCTCAGGAGATAGAGCCATTGGCTCGTAATCGGAAGGTTTTCTGGTTCAGTCTAGAGTATCGGATTAGTAATTAAGTAAATGAATAGGTAGTGTTTAAGTGGTATCCTGAGAATGAGGAGGACAGCACAGCTCAGGAAGTAGAACCGTGGTCTTGTGATCAGAAGGTTCCAATTCCCAGCTAGGATAATGAATTGGTATAAAGGCCTTATGGACAATTGTTCACATGTAATTTCTTCTCCAAGCAGGTAGATGTGTATGCGTGTGCGGTGCTCCGTTGGGCCACTATGGAGCATGTGTGTCTGAGAAGGTGGGCCTCGGGCTCTGCTGTCGTGTTCCTTCACACACTGGCCTTATCCTGGACAGGTAAGGGACACTGTAACTTAATATGACTGGTTCCTTCTGCTTACTTGGAATTCAACCAAAGTTGTCCTCTAGGTTATTGGACTGCACCTATCTGAATGATAGGTTGGTCCTAAATCTTGAACATTTCAAGTTAAAGTTTGCCTTTTGGAGAATAACAAACTAAATGTTGATTGTTAATGTTGCTGTTCTGGTTCATTTAATTTAAAAGTAGTTTGTGACACTTCTAAATGATATAATTTTGGATGC